CCATGCAGAGTCCTCCTAGGATTCATTCTCCTAGGGATAATGCTTATCCTTTTACACCCTCCCCCACTGCTTAAACCAAGTGGGATGGTTTCCTCCATGGCCGAACTTCCATGTGACCGAAGTAAAACTGGCTATGCCGAGCCACGAAGTAGGCCGTACTAACGATAGTTCGGTTTTTCTTTATGCTACACCATATCTTGGTTCTCTCATACACGAACTGCGGTGTGTTTGGACCGAACCAACGACTCTCGACCGGTATAAGTCCCAAACCGGTATACCTCTAAGGTCGATATAACTTCAAGGCCGGTCTAACTTCAAGTTGCTCCCAGACCGAAGTACATTTACAAACTTCTAACCGAAGTAACTTAATCATTGTTGTGAGCCGAAGTAATTTCATCTCTTTGGGCCGGAGTAACTTTGTCTCCCCAAGGCCGGAGTAACCTTGCTCTCCTGGGCCGGAGTATCCTTTACGGCCTTTTTACTTAGTCCTTCGCATTTTGGGCCTCAAAGCCCAACTTGCATCTCGGTCCAATTTTTCCCAAAAATTACCCTCTCAATCACAAATGTCATTATGAATTAATTCAAGTGGTTCTGTACTTTTTTCAATTGAATGAAAAGGAGTTTTAGATAATTTTGTCTCAACGCAAATTTCATATTTATGATTTGAATTAATGTCAAATTTAGGTAAACATTCCATATTAATTAATGTACTCAAAGATCCATAATTAGGTCAAAACGTCTCTTCAATCACAGCGACTGTAACGCTTCCCCTTCCAATGACACGTGGCAGATTCTGATAGGCTGAGGACGGCTGTCATGCCGTCTTTCGTACTTCGTGAATTTTGAACAGTCCCGCCTCTTTTTGCCGCCTCTTTTCAGTCCCTTTTCACAAAACAACTTTTCTACTCTTTCTCGAATCATTTCACCTTCCATTCTTCATTTCCTCTCTCCGTGTTCTTGCCGTTCGTGCTCTGCAACAGTTTTCCTCTCCAGTCCCTGCTTCACCAATCTAGTCAGCAAATCTTCTTTCCCTCCTACTCTGTTTTGCTTTCGCATCTGTCTATTTTGTTTTGTATGTTTTTTGCAAACATTGTCCATTTCTGGTTTGCTTCTGTATTTTCATGAAAAAACTATAGAACTTGTTCGTGTATGAACTATTATGAAGAAAACCAGTTTTAGATCCAAAATCACATAGCACCCGAACTAGAATCCTGTTTGCCCCAAATAGGTAAATCACTGTAGTCAATAACCGAACTAGAACTTGAACGGCTCAAAGAGTCATTAACGTCTCACTTCACTCTAGCCGAAATAAGATCACCGAGTTTAGAACATATCAAACTAGGAACCTCGATTTTCAACCGAACTAAGCTTTTGGGCCAAGCCGGCTTTCTTGGTTCCTAAACCGATCTCTGAAAGCCGCCCCTAGAGGCTTAACCGAAGTAACTCTATTCATACTGCAACCGATTTAGGCCTTGGGGCTAAACCAGCTTTCTTAGTTTTTTAGACCGAACTCAGAAAGCTGCCCCTAGACGTCAAACCGGTCTAACGAGCAAACTGCTCAAACCGAGCTACCCAACCTTTTTGATGAACCGAGATAGAACTAGTCTTTTGAGGCCGAAGTAGGGCGTTTATACCTTGCTTTTTAAATTGTAGCACGGTCCGTTGATCAGTGCTTTAACCCCCCTCTGTTTTTTTACTCTGCAGACTTAGGTCACCCAGGCACTCCTGTGTGCGCTCAACCGATCTACTGAGCACGATTTTTGCACCGATATAACTTATAAGTAAACTATACATCAGATGGGTAAGTATAGGTATCTAGCTGAGACCCCTGGCGGGATGGCCGAATTCAGGAAGGACTATAACATACCGGATGACGTCCATTTGACTTTGGCAAAAAAGAACGTTATTCCATGGGACAACGAAGGTTTCGTCCCCTTTACCCTACAATCCATAATAGAAACCGGACTACGGTTTCCTGTCCAACCATTGATCTGTGAGTTCCTTAGGCAAACTAGGCTATGCCCCACCCAACTGTCCACCAATACATACCGTATTATTATGGGAATAGCCGCACTAAACCACCAAACCGGTTTAAACCTCGGTCTTGCCAAAATATTCCATCAATATTCCATCGGCTCGAAAGATGCTGGGTGGGTCTATTACCTTAGGATCCGCCGCCGCCGAGAGAAGATAGTTAAGCACACACCGGACAAAGACCTTAATGATGATGACTTCTTCTGGGTCTCTGGGAATTTTGAGGACTTCCAAGCTCAAATTCCTGGCCGACCTATAAATTGGAAAAAGGGAGAGCCTGGTAATTTAACTTCGGTCTTTTTTCTTGTATGTTATCTCGGTTTTTTAGTCTATTGACCGAACTAACACCCTCTTTTTTTTCGCAGATTTCGTCCATCTTCATTCCTTATATAGTTATCCAAACCTTGCAATTTTGTGAGCCGCGCTACGGATTAAAGAACGAAGTTGGGCTAAGCTTCTGAACTTTGAGCCGACCTACCGATACAGCGGTCGCCAGAAAGCAAGGGTAACCGATTTCCTTCTTGAGGAAGCACCAGAGCCGGACCCAACCTTGCCCGAAATCCGACTTGTCCCATTATCTGCTGAAGAGGAGATGGCGAGGAGATGGCAAAGAAAAGCAGAGTTAGGGCCCTTCTGACCGCAACAACCAGAGCCGAAGTACCACCAACCATTGAGGCGCAGCCTGCCATTGTGGCCCTTCCCTCTCAACGGCCTTCTTCATCTCGCCCTTCCAAGCGCGCCCGATCTACATCGACCGAACAGCTACTTGTCGATGAGGTCGAATCCATCCCCCAAAGTCCTCAACCGTCCCCTCAACCAGAGCAAACTGACCGAGTCGAATCCCCGAAGTGGGCTCCACCGCTGACCTTTAACGACCGAGATATCAAAGCTACTGACTCGGTCGTGGCTGAAAAAGACCACCAATTGGCCTTTAATCTGGCCAAAAGTGTGTGCCTCCCCAAGGACATGGAGCACCACTTGAAGCAACTGAACAGCGAAATGAAGTCAATTCGGTCTGCTTCCAAGTCCATGATTTTGGTAAGTATCTCTGTCCATTTTTTCTTGTTTGAAGTTTCCAACTTTTACTTCGGCTTAAGAGAAGTTATTATATAAACTATATGGAATATATATATATATATTAAACTATTGAAATAGTTTAATAAATAAATGAAGAGGTATAAATTTTAGAAAACTATTTAGGAATCCAAAATTTGAAATTAGAATTAAATTAAATTCTCATAATTACAAACTTTAGGTAACCACTTAGGAACCCAAAATTTGAATTCAGAATTAAATTAAATTCTCACAATAATTTTTATTGAAAAAATTCATATGAATTTTATCTAAGTTAGACCCGAAAACGACGTCAACTTTCCATTCACTCATAAATGGTTTTGACGTTCTTCGGACCCACCCCAAAAGACGTTTGGAGCCCACTCAATTTTGGTCTAAAAAATATTCCTATATTTAAACCATTTTGCCAACACATTGCACTTAACTTTGATAGCTTCCCACGACCTTCCTTAGTCCTTCTCCCTTTCCGAGGACCTTTTCTTGCCCGCTCTTTCTTTCTGACAACCTCCTTTCCTATCTTCATCTTCCCTTACTGTTACTGTCGGCTTCTTTTTCATCTTCTTTTTTTTTTTATGCTGCGATCTGAAAACCCTAGATGTAGGGTTTATAGATCGCACGTAAGGAAAAAGAAGAAGAAGAGAAAGAAAGAAAAGAAAGAGGAAGGATGTGGTGGGTTTGTGGTGGCAGACAAAGGGCAATGAAGGAATGGAGATGGCAAGGTTGGATTGGAAAGGGAAGGATCACAATGGTGGATAGGAGGTGCTAGAAAAGGGGTGGGGGTGGTAGCCGACGTTGGAGAGGGGGCATTGGCATTGGAGAGGGGCGGACAGAGGTGGCTGAAGCTGGTGGGAGACATAGCCGGAGTTAGGGTTAGGATTGAGAGATTAGGGATAAGATAAAATAAGAAATTTGTGTTAGGATAAAATGGTAATAATAAATTAAAAAGGGCGTGAAGGTCCTAAAAAAAAATGTGGGAGCCAATAATAGCTCCATTAAAACTTCATTAAAATGCACACTAACTTCCGTTAATAAAAACATATAAATTGACATTTATATTCTCATCTTCTTCTTCCTTTTGAATTAAACTATATTGCTGCACCACATTCGCATTCTTTTTGTCTATCATGGCAACAAACCTTAAGAGGCTGATAAGGTAGGAGAGAACTAGCTGACATAGAGGAAAAAGAAAAGGAAAATGCAGTTTATAAAAAAAAATAATTTAGGGCACTTTTGTTATAACAAATTTGTTCATTCTCCTATAATGCATGTGTATTACACTTCCTGTTAGTTTGGATAAAAGATTAATACGTTTTAATCCACAAATCATGAGGAGGTTATGTAATTATTTTTAAATAGAAGGAAAGTAAATTGCAAATGTAAAATTTGTTCTAAATTTTTTTTCCTGATTCGTAAATCGGCTGAACACATGGCCATCTCTCTATACTTTCGGCAAAAATAATATGGCCATCTGATTAGAGTTGTAGTCCAAGTGGTCATAAGGGGTTGTTTAATGCTAGTGAGGTCATGTTTCAGATCTGAGTGGTGTTGGCTTGCTGTAGCAATCTAATTCTACTAACCTACTAACATTCTTGCAAAAACAACACAAATAAATAAATAAAATAAAATATGGCCATCTAACTTGTGCTGCTTATGGCCTAGATGGTGACAATCTTCCATTGAAAATAAAAACAAACTCCCTCAGCCCACAAAAGTTACAGAATTCCTCAATTGCTCAACTCTATCACTATGATTACAAATCATTTTCTTTAATGGTATCAAAAAATTCGTGTAAATTTTTTTACAAGAATGATATAGCAATGACAAAATTGTAAATGACTTTAATGGGCCTTTTGGTTTGAAATGAATGGACACACATTTGTCATCTCATTCTGTATGAAATTTATGTACGGCTTTTCTGTTTGTATATCAGCACTATACCATCAATCAGAATATAATACACTGTGTTGTGTACATTATGCATTATATGCATATATAAAGCACCTGGAAGGGGACTTGAACCTCAGTTCGGTTAGGACTTGAGAGTGCAGCACATTTCATTGCCTTACTAATAATGAAATCTGACAACACAGCATTATTGTATGTTCAATTACAAATTCTAACATTTCATTGCCTTCCTAAGAATGAAATCTTTAACAAATAGTGGAAGATGGTACATGATTGCCATTATGGTTGAGTAATGGCCATAAGAGAACCAAGATGGTGGATTCTTTTTCAGCACTGCTGCTACTGTCTTCTTCGCAAACTCTTCAGAAGGGGTTGACTTTGCGCCCTGTGAGAAGTAGGCTCTTGCTCGGATTGCTTCATTGAATTGCTTGTATAATTTCCATTCAGGCATTCGACTGTAGCTAGCTGCAGCAGAATTTCCTAGGTTTGATCTAATGGCTCCTGGGACAACATTGATAACATCGATCCCAAATGGCCTAAGTTCCAATCTGCATAACGTGATAGACGCAAAATGATTAAAACCTAAATGTAACTTTTGGCACAAAAATACACCACAGAAAGCAAAGATGTCAAAATCCCTCTAATAAATGGTGGCCTACTCCTGTGATAAAGCTGCTGCTAATAGCACCTCAAGAATTTCTTTGCATCCCCCACTACTCAAAATTTTTTTATTACAATTTTACCCTATAATAAAATTTCAATCTTGCGCTCATCTCTAACCCTATCCCCACCACCAACCACTATCAAAAGCTGCCACCCCCAGTTCCAACCACCCTTCCCCGCCCCTCCCTAGATTCGGCTGTCACCCCCAACCCCTCTCCAACCTCCTGTTGCCCCTCCACAGTCTCCCCTCACCCAAGTGATCCCCACCCCAGCCTCCTCTCTCTCTCTGTCTCTCTCTCTCTGCCGGAAGGTGAGGAATGCCTAGGGGGTGGCACTGGAGGATAGGGAGGGGCAAGGTGGCTGTAGCTGGGGGGGTGGCGGTGGTTAGGGTTTGAGAGAGTGGGGTTAATCTTGGTATTAAGTGGGGTGTCCAAAGAAATTTTACAAATTTGAAATTAGGTGGAGGGAAGTCAAAAGTATTTGTGTCGGGCTATTAGCAGCACCCTAGACCAAATCCATATTCCTGTTTTCATAGAAAAATGCTATCTAGGCTTTCTTGAGGCAAGAATGCACATATCAGAAAACCATATAACTTGGAAGGAGAGTCATCCAGTGAAAACAGGAGAGCTTGGCAGCTCTGTACAAGGCAAAGGCCACATAAGAAAAGACTAGAAGTAACATGGGCAGCTATGAAGCACGGGTACTCCAAAAATGGTGCCGTATGAGTACCGGATACTTACCGGGTGCGGGTACGCGTACTGGTACAGCGATACGCATACCGGGTATGCCGAATACATGTCGAGTACGGAAAATACATTTGGGTACAGTGTGGGTACGACACGGGTACGGCGAGGTGATTTTTTTTTTTTTTTTTTTTTTTAGTTGCAGCCGCTAGAATTTATTGCAGCTTTTATTATTCTTCTTTCAATTTTAAAAATATCAAGTAATTTATTTCCAACACCCTTTACCCATAAATCATGGTTTTGCTCTCTTTTACATCCTAATCAAAAAAGAAGAAGAAAGAATTATATAACTTTTAGACAAGTTGTTCTCTTTTTAGTTTTGATATTAAAACTTTGATTTGTATGTTGGATGTTTAGCTATAAATTAAATAAATAAATAAAAAATTGACGTACCCCAGCCGTGCCTGTACCCTACTTTTTAAAGAATTTGCCGTATTAGCGTACCCGTATCCGTACCCGTACCGGCACCCGTGCTTCATAGATGAGCAGCTATATTCTGCCCCAACGTATCAGTTGCTGAATCTAGTGCAGATTTAGATGCAGAAATGGAGCATAAGCAGTCTAGACCATAATATTTATAGAAACAATTTCAGGATTTTATGGATGCAATTTGCAAATAAGAAACTGACAAAATCAATGAAGACTAATATGAGCAAGAGCAACTATATTCTACAAACCTCAAGGAATCAGTTAGTGCATGTAGAGCAGCCTTAGATGCAGTGTAAGCACCTGCCCATGGTGGAGGGGCCAAAACAGAAACACTTCCCACATTTACAATCTTTCCCTTCTTTCTAGAGGCCATGTGAGGCACCACAGCTTGTATCAATCTCATGGTACCTATATGCACACAGAAAATAATAATAAATATGATCTGTTTCTAGTCAGCTGATTAGAAGGTTACAATGTTGTGCTGACTTGACACAAAAGTGTAGAGATGAGATATGTGTAACAATAACATGTATACAAATTGGACATGTAACAATGACATTTGTACAACAATGTGTCATCACCAATTTAATTTTTGAGAAAACGTTATATATTTGATTGATATAGAATGGTTTCTATATTTAAATTTCAATGACATAGATAACAACTTAAAATCGCATATAAGGGTTGACAAATCCATTCACAGCTTAGGAGCATGTTTCACATTTGCTATTAACTTTAATGAAATGTTTGACGGTGTACTTTTAGTCCACAACCCACACAAGAACATGATAAACTACACATCCAGTAAACCACAAGGAGCAAACCATGGAGTTTGCACTAATTTAAAAAGGGGGAAAGTCCCTATATTTTAGTCCTTGTGTGATTTTGGTTCTTGTAATTTCGGTGGAATCGATTTTGACACTGAATTTATGACTTGGTCTAAGTCATTACTATTTTTTTGATAAAAAATGCGTACATGAGCGACGCGTGTTATGTTTTTATAGACAAAATTATAAACTAGTTCAACTCAGTGAATTAATCTCATTCAGTTCAGTATCCATTCGCCTAGAACAAAACCCGAGTTGACATTATCAATTGGACTAAATTGATACAAAATCTAAAATTAAGCATCGAAATCAAACTAATTGAAATTATAGAGAGACCAAAATGACATGAGGGACAATCTCCTCACTAAACTATGCCACTCCAACCAAACAATCAGCAAAACTAAGATAAAAATCAAGATCTGGGCATTGATAAATCTTCAGCACTAGTCGCAGTAGCAGGAAAAACAAAGAGACGCAATCAAGCTAACAAAACAAGCATAATTTTGGGTAAAGCAAAACAACAAACACTTAGAGGGCAATCCAATCCAATCCAATAAAGCAGCAAGAAGAACACAAAGCTTACCATAAACATTGGTATTGAAAGTAGCTTGAATTGCAGAAAGAGGGATCTCAGCAAGAGGTCCTACGAATTGGACCCCAGCATTGTTGACGAGGACATCGATGCGTCCAAACTCGTGAAGAACATTGGAGAGAACGTTTTGGACGCTCTCATCGGACAACACGTCGAGCTCTTGAAGGAAGAACCTTGAGTCCTCTTCCAGGTCCGCCATGGACGACCGAGACCGACTCGTCGCCACCACCACGCATTTCTCGGCGGCGAAGGCTCGTGCGAGCGCGTGGCCTATGCCGCCAGTGGTACAGCCTGTGATGAGGACCACCTGTTTGTTGTATGACGACTCCATGATCGAGAATAATAGAATGATAGAGAATAATGAAATTACTGATTATTATTCTTATATTACATTATATTATATATATAGAGAGAGAGATGTTTGTTGTGGTGGATGCATGGGTGAGCTAGTAGTTGTATTTGATTGCTTTTGTGTATTGAATTGAATTGACGGTGATTCCAAAGAAGCTGAGTAAATGCGTAGCCGTTTGTTGGCCAAAACAAATGCCTCATTCAGGTGGTGGTGTGTAATAATTTTATTTTTTTTTCAATAGAAATTTTCATTAAAGTAAAGATTGTTAAATATAAGGTTAACAAGTGGATATTTTGATTCGTTCAAATTGACCGAATTGAATTAATTTATTGTATGCGTGATAATGAGCGGACGATTATAGATTGATTTTTTTCAATCTGTCTAGTTTTGAACGAATGGCGAATTTGAAATTCTTTTGACTGCAACTGAACCACCAAACTACAAGCACCCCTAGTAATTTGTAAGACTTTGCATTTTCAATTTGTTTAGATATTCCGTTTGTCTTTTAACCGCTAAACCGCGAGTAACCCTAATAATTTGTAAGATTTTGTATTTTTAATTTTTTTAGATATTCTGTTTATATTTTCAATTAAAAAAAGTTTAAATATTCTGTTTTGTTTTCAATTTGAAAATTCTTTTATCAAATGACAAATGCTAATATTTGATATTTTTGTGTGAAAAATATAAGGCATAATTTTTCATTTTTTAAAAAATCAAATTAAATAATTTTTGAATAAAAAAAGTAATGAAATAATTTTGATAATGCATGATATTCTTATGTGTAGTTATTATTGGTATTTGACAATATACTTAATAATCTTTTAGTTATGTTGAGTTCGATTATTATCCCGAAAAAATATTTATAAGTTGTTGTATTATGTTCAAACCGCCAAACTAATTCACATCCATCCGCCAATCTACTCAATTCGGTGAATGGATGCTGATTGATTTTTTCTAATCCGCCAATTCGGTAGACAAATGATGGATTAGAGGTTTTCTGGCCGTAACCAAACTGCGAACACTCGGCACTTACAAGGAAATCATCAACAAGTTTGCATCAAATTAAGAAAAAATCTTGTGTAAAACAAAGGAAAATTCCCAAATAAAGCACTAAAGATAAGCTATAGATAAGTTTAGACATAACATTCATACTGCAAAGTAGAGATCGATCATAAAAGCTTGACATTAGAATAAGTCTAAGATAAATACATAAATTATATCTATACTGTGTGGGTAAGCTAAGAACGCACCAAAACAAAAAACAAAACACAAAACACAAACCCTAAAAACCCATAACTCCAGGTAGTGGCGGCAACGGATCCGCCGGTGTAAAACGGTGGAGCAGGATGATGGCGGCAAATCTAGGAGAAGAGCAGTAGATCCGGTGGAAAGAGAAGGCGAATAGGTGGTGATGATGGCCGAAACAAGAGATGCAGAATATGGATGCGACGCCAGAGTGAATCAGTGGAGAATAGAGGCGGCGGATTCGTGAAGGCCATACCGAAGTAGAAGCAATGGGAGATAAACACCTCACAAAGGAGGGAGAGGATGCAAAGCCCAAAGCTTCCAAGTTATTGTGTAAAAAGCATGAAAAAGAAAGAGAGAAAGGGGTAGGAGAGAAGAGGGGAGGCCGAAGGCTGCTAGAAAACCCCTTCCTCCACCCCAGTCACTGCTCACGCCTAAACCCTAAGGAGAGAAAAGTATAGAGAGAGAAGCTCTCAAAGTTAGAGAGAGGCCCCATAGGTGGAGTATAATTAGAGAATAAAAAAAATAGTATAATGAGTTATAATTATTAAAAAAAAATTATAACTAAACACACAAATGAGACATAATTAAATATCTCAAAATAATATCATAATTAAATTTTAAAAAAATAATGTAACTAAATGTATGTATGGTATAGGGTGTGCATAATATAATTCTCCTAAAAAATTTTAAAAGTCTTATCCTAGTGCATAAATAAAAGACAAAAAATTTGAAGAGTATAAAATACTTTTTATTAAATTTGATATACTTTTATTGAAATTAATACCCTTTTTAATAGTTTTACATATTTTCAAGTAACTTTATATATACTTTCTAACATTAAATAATGTATAGGGGCACTTGTTAGTATTTGCCAATTTTAAATTGGGGTAAATTACATTTTTTCCTTTTATATTTGGCCACTTTCTAACATTGTCTTGACCAGGTATTCCCAAATGGCCAGTAAACAAAAAACCCGTATTACCCAATCTAACCAATCCATTCCATGACCTGTCCCAACTCGTTTGAGTGACCAACCCATCCCAATCCATAAACAGATTATTTAGAATTTTGGACAAAGGTGTGTACTCCGACCTTGCCCATAAACTTGGACTGTAAAAGTCTGCATGGGTAAGTCTAATGTTTAGTTTTATTTTTTGGGGTCTAATGTTTAATGTGGGGAAATATTTTTGGGGTTGTCCATGTGACCGAGGTCGTTAGCCTAGGTGCCACGTGGATGGACCAAGTCATCGAGATATGATGTGATCATATTTGAATCCGAGATATTCGGATAGAAGATAAGAGTCCTAGATGACATTAACCTATCTATTTGGATAAAGATGTGACTCTTGAAGATGTTTATCTTAATCTAAATAGTATGAGTTGTGATAGATGCTATCCTTCTAAAGGATAGACCCATGAAGTAAGACTTTTAGGGGAAGTTGAACACTGATTATTATAAAAGTAAGGTACCAATGTGTGTCTAAGGTATGCTTTTACTTGTGCATTAAGTACTTGTTTGATATCTCTGATAGATAAGATTGACTGACTTGATTGTCAAAGTGCCCTCAGATGGACGAGTCACCGTGGTATTCTTGTTTTCTTGTTGGCAGGAGCTTGGTTTAATCTATTCTGTTGCGTGCTCTTCAGCTAAGTTTCCTGTTTAGTTGTGAGGTCGAAAATCAACACTTACAATTTGGCACCTGTAGCCCGACTTTCCGTGTTTCTTTCGGAAGGTGAATAGTCCTACAGTTCGGACTCTACTTGTGGTTCTGAATCTGATTTCATAAGTGCAATGTGAAATAATGAAAACACAAAAAGAGTCCAAATCTAACAATTCTTTTTGGAAAATCAATGTTTGAACCAAATGCCAAAAATAGACTGCTTTGCCAAATTACAGAGTCGCCACCTAAATATTTTTGAGAAATTTAAGAAATCCGAGACTCGTGCCAAAGGTCATTAGTCTGTCATCACTAAAGTGTCTCGGCTTAGGAACTTAGGTACGAGAGGGGAGGGTCATGAATTGAGCACCCCACTCGCCCGATCAAAGATCAGCCTCTATTAATCATGATATGTTTTTTACTTACATTATATGCTCTTGTTCTGGTTTATTATCTATTTTTACTATGTGATGTGCACACAAGGTATAGACTAGTTTGCAAGATTTGGAACACTCGATTTCATGTTTTGTTTCGAAATTGTTTTGTGGATTTGCTACTTGAAAAAGTGGGCTAAAATGGACATTAATCAAGCCATCCTAATTCAAGCAACTAGCCTTCATCCATAGGTATTCAAACAATTATATCATTCAAGTAATTAGCCTCTTGGTATTCATGCTTTGTCATGGCAACACAAACATTCGATGTAACATGCTAAAGCGATAAAAGCTCACCTAGTGCTCCGAGCAAAAACAAGTGAAATAGTTAAAATATATATATATATATATATATATATGCATGTTCCTAACTTATGCAATAGGACTAATGCAATGCACACATTATGTATTTTATAGGCTCGGCTATGAGCATGGCATATGATTGCATTCAAGACATGTGAGAGAGCACGTATTCAAGTAATGAGTTTTGATCATCGATATTGGGTTAGTATGATGAGCCGAGCCTTACATGTATACAAGACAAATGGATGCGAAACATGAAGTATGCTAAATAAACGTGATGTTTCTAAACTAACCATCATAAGCAAGTAAATAACAGGGAGAAAGACGTGGGGTTAGAAGACATACAACTTATTACAACATTGCCCTCGTGCAAGAAAGTGCGAATCAAAGTCCAAAAATCCGAATTAAACTAATTATTACAAAACCGAATGAATAAATTAAGCGAGGTTAATTAACTAACTAACTATGCTATTACAACAAGAGTAACCACGATAAATAAACTCGCTATTTAAACTAATTAACTACAATAATTACAAAGGAACAATAATAATAATTACAACATTAATAATTCATGAGACTAATTATAATAAATAATATTGAACAAATTAATTACAATGATGATCATGATGTAAGCGAGGATGTGTAGACACCCCATTTTTGACCGACCTTAAGACTTAGACATCACCAACTGAGCGCTCGGTGATGTTGCATATTGTACTCGTTCTGAGGTTGCAAAGTCTCAGCTGAGAGCCTTGCCTCCGGGCTTCGGAACCCTTTCGTGCCTTGCCTCGGTTTGCGAACTAGGTCCTGTTTTCTCTGTCTTCTCTTCCTAAAGGGAGGGAGATGTCTCGTAAACCATCTCTCAGTGGTCGTAGGTTACGTTTCGTGGTTGTAGGCCATTTTTCCCATTTGGAGACCAGTTTTCAGTTTTCGAAGCCATCGACCGTCTACCTCGGTTCGGGACCGCTTAACTACCTCCATTTGCTCCGATTTTTGGCACACACCTTGTTTCCTCTCCTTAGAGGGAGACTGTGGCCCGGGAGGCCACCTTCGGGGTCGCGCGCCACTTCTGGCACTTAACAGTCAGTTTTCGGGGCCCTCGGTTGTGCGTTTTGACCCCCGAACCCTCGTTTTGCATCGGTTAGGGTTCAATTTTGGCATGGACCCTATTTTCATTGTTAGGAAGGTGGTACAAGGGTGGGAGACCACCTTTTCCCCTTGGAAACCAGCTTTCTCCTTGGAGACCATTTTTCTCTCTCCTCTAGCCAGTTTTCTTGTCAGGAAACTGGTCTCCCTCACTTTTGGGTCATAATTTCTGGTCTCCCATACCACCATTGTGTTGCATTCACCTGGGACGCCACCTATTTGGTATGGCCAACCACCTTTGGTGCTTGACCCTTTTGACCCCTTGGTTTCTCTCACTTTTGAGCTATAATTTCTAGTCTCCCACCATACCACTGTGTTGCATTCACCTGGGAGGCCACCTTTCTGAGTAGGCCGACCAACTTTTCTTCTTGACCTTTTTGAACCCTGGTCGGCCG